ATATATATATATATATAAAAACGTAGAGACAAAATGAGGTAGAAGAGTTGCAAACACAAAACCTCCACGGTTGTTTGCCTGGAAAAGCAATCAAAAGCCCCCTCAAAAAGCCAATTTCTAATCAATTCGAATTCGAAACCAAAGTCAAAATCAAAATTGAAGCTTTGAAATTAGGGTTACAATCTAAGCATTCAAGCTGTTAAGCTTGTCTGAGAAGCAAAAGCGCTCAGATTCTAATCGATGGGGAAGAGAAAAGAGCGTCGTCTTGCAGCTAAGACCAACGCTGGTCGCAGAGTCAAGCTCGATCTTTTCGCGGAACCCTCTGGTACTCTCTCTCTCTCTCTCTATATATATATATATATACACACACACACACACACACATACCTATGTATGTGTGTATATATCTATACTATGTGATTTATGCGTGCATTTGTCCTCGAGATTATTTAAATCGTTGCTCTTTAGTGTTTTCTAAGTATTATTTTTCCTGTTTAATTGTCTGTATGTCTATTTCTGGGGTTTTGTTTCATCTGGTTGTGTATAGTCATTAGCTTGTCTAAAAAGTGTCTTCATATATACATGTACACACACGTATTCCAAAAGTTAGCTGAATAGCGGACGTGGAAGTAACAATCTCTGCAGTTTTGGAATGAAAACGGTATTTTAGATTATTGGTGGATTGAAGGACTCTTCTTCGGAACATTTTAGATGTGTTTCATTTTGTTGGTTTTGTTTTTTAAATATGGCCGTTTGGTATCATTAACTGACATTATTTTTCACTAATGTTGATAATGCCATATTGCTGTACGGAATTGGATGATACATAAATGATTTATGTGTAGTTTATCTACATTTCGGGGTATCATGTTGAGCAACTTGTTTGCCTTTATAGGAGATTTGGGTGGCTCTGCTGAACATGATGAGCTTGGAGGAGATATGAAATCCAAAGGCCATGATGGGTTACCCAATTCACCATCTTCTTCAGGTGGGTTCCGTCAGTTTTCTTCAAAAAGGACTTTGTAGAGAGGACATGTGTGCTCAACATTATGTTGTTCGGTGGAATTATGGATACTATATGTGCAAGACATGTTATGTTGTTTGCCCCCCAAGATTTTGTTTTCAGACTGTAGGGTGGCTGTTGTCTTGTTGAGAACATTCACTGTCAGATCAGGTCGGGCCCAGCCACAGTGAAATTATGAATCACCCCTATTCGTTATGCCCTTTTTGGCACCAACAAAGCGTTTTGGAGATTTCAGC